ATCCTCACAGCAAATTCCAATCTGCTGATGAGGAAACTGAGACCAGCGAGGTCAGGGTGACTTGCCCAAGGCCATGAAGCCAGTAAGTGGTGGAGCTGGGACTCAAACCCAGTTCTGCCTGGCTCCAAAGAAGCACCTCCCTGCTCCCCCGCCAGCTAGACTCCAGCTCCCCCGCCAGCTAGACTCCAGCTCCCCCTCCAGCTAGACTCCAGCTCCCCCTCCAGCTAGACTCCAGCTGCTGGAGCCACTAACTGCAGAACCAGTGCACCTCTACCACAGTAAATTCACGTGCTAACTGCTGGACACGAGGACACACAGCTGAGAAAAACATCACACCTCAAACCGAAGCACAAGACCCAAGAGTTCCCAGCAAGGAAATGCAGTCACCTCCTTGAGGATAACTAGTTCCAAAGGCTACGGTTCAAAATGCAAGAGAATCCACAGGCCTTGTAAACTGTGCTGTTGGCTGTCTCTCAACTGACTTTTTAGAACAAGGGAAATGAAACTCGAGAGTATTTTTGGTCAAATTATCTAAAACCCTTTAGAAAAGGGCTTTTTAAAAACAGTTTGCTTTTACAATTCACTTCAATAGGCTTCAGACAAGCAAGGACAAAATCACATCAGGAGCATTACTAATCAACTTTTTCTCTACAGACTTGCGAAGTATTTTCTTACCACACTACAAGGTGGCTTCCCATACTGAGAGCAGAAATGGAAACAGCTCTGGGTGTCACGAATCAGATCTTGAGGCCACAGTTGCAGAAAGTAGGTGCTGTCTCCCTCGAGTAGGAGCTGCTGATCTGAAACCTCCTACGGGAAGGGTGTCGAAGAAGAGTGTTGAAGGAACTACAGCGGGCTGTTCGCATTAATGAGGGAGCTGCTGGCACCACGACTCCTGGTGTTTCACGGCCATGCAATTGTTTTCCAGCTCCCAAGCCCTGAATCTGGCAGAGAGCGTGCTTTTCTCACAGCCATATGTGTTATATGATCAGCTGCTCTGTGGCATGTGGGTGTTTAACTAGGTAAGTGGCTGGTCAGAAGAGGTTCTGCAATATTAAAAACCAAGGAAGCACCCTGTCCCAAGATGTTAATGATCTGTCACTATACTATGCTGACAAAGCAAAGTGACATACTAATATTTGCAACTTTGAAATGGTTTGGGTTCAGGACAGGCAGATAATTTCCGACAGTAAAATTTCAGGCATGACACGAACAAAAAACATAACCTGTAATATAAACCACTTCAAGCATGTTTATTAGACAATAAAAAATGTGATATTTGCAATCTCAGCATTCTTCCAAACTTCTTAGGGTACACTACATAATTTATTAGAATAAATGCTACTCTTCAGCTATGTGGAACAGGTTCTATGCAAGATTCCAAGGCTCCCTTGCCTTCCCCAAAGCTGTTGATGCAATGAATTCCCTCGCCCCGTGGTCGGCAAACTGCGGCTCGCGAGCCACATGCGGCTCTTTGGCCCCTTGAGTGTGGCTCTTCCTAAGCCTTAGGAGTACCCTAATTAAGTTAATAACAATGTACCTACCTATATAGTTTAAGTTTAAAAAATCTGGCTCTCAAAAGAAATTTCAATCGTTGTACTGTTGATATTTGGCTCTGTTGACTAATGAGTTTGCCGACCACTGCCCTAGCCTCTCAAACCCCCAAAATGCAAAAAAATTTAAGGTCTCAAAGGATTCTTTAAGTGAAAAATATTGTCAGAATTGGAAGCTCCTGGAGAGCTGGAGACTGTGCTTCTTTAATGTCACTGCCCATCACGACACTTTCACGAAGCTGGAATGAAATATGATCAAAATGCAGAGTGATTTAAAGAAGACTAGCTGACGGCTGCCCCCTGCTTATTGACAGACTGGTGCAATGTTCATCCCTAGTTCTAGATTTTAAAACATGGAGATTAAACTCCCTAACCACAATGAAAATCCTTCCATTATAACAAAATTTAAAAATGGATGCTTTTGATGGCAACTTGTCACCTGGAATAAAGATATGCAGTAATATTTAATAAAGTTGAAAAAAATCTTCCTCATGGAGCAGGTGCTCTACTAGGGGAATGATAAAGTCTTGTAAGAGATCAGATCAACCTCAACCAACAAATAAAGGTTCTGGACAGGCATCATAAAACAGACCACTGACTTTGCGGCTGAAATTACAATACAGTGCAAGGAACATACATTACCAAGTGGTCAAATGTAGACAAATTATTTTGGCTCCAGTTTTAACTTTGTGAAACTCGCACGTACATGCTTTTTATAGGAAGACAGGGAAATGATACCTTACAAATATCTAACTCACGGTAATAAAAATAACAAAACACAAGGAAGAATACATGTACAATCTGCTTTGTTGCTTATTGCTCAGGAGCAAAGTAATGTCAATCCTTAAGAAAAACAAAAACAAATCCCCCCCCCTCCCACGCAAAACTCAAGTTCCTTTCACTTTTTCATAATATAGATCTTATCCTGAGGTCCCAAGACCAGCTTCAAGATGACTGTAATTAGAAGCAAAACCATGTCTATTTCACCAAGAGCACCCAAAAAGGCTTCAGTGACCTCAAAGAAAGGTTAAGAACCCCTGAAGTAGGCATTTCCAGATACACTGAAACTCAGCAGTGAGCATTTTAAACAAAATTATACCAACGGCAGCGTCTACCAGTGGTTCTCAACCTTCTGGCCCTTTAAATACAGTTCCTCATGTTGTGACCCAACCATAACATTATTTTCGTTGCTACTTCATAACTGTAATGTTGCTACTGTTATGAATCGTAATGTAAATATCTGATATGCAGGATGGTCTTAGGCGACCCCTGTGCAAGGGTCGTTTGACCGCCAAAGGGGTCGCGACCCACAGGTTGAGAACCGCTGGCTCTAGCTAAACACATGTGCACAGTCCTGATGCCAACAACCAAGCTTTGCCTGCCGGCTCCCGGGATCACAGTGCAGCTCGCCACTCTCCACTCAGCTTCACATGGGAACATCACCTGCATTCTGCACACACACTCACACATGCCAGCCACAGCAGCTCTGCACTCCCTAGGCACACACACGTTGTCAACAAAACATGTGTGTGCTTGTGGCCATTTCCAGAACAATACCGGCCTGACCATGGAGGGGGGGGGGGAGACACCATCTTCCCAAAATATTGCCTTATTTATTTACTACTCCTTGAGGATAGACGTTAAACATTACAGCCAAAGAAGAAGAAATTTCCCCTACACCATAGGTGTCTAAATAACCGGGCAAAAGCATCACTCAGGCTACTACTGAGGGTCCACTGGAGACGCACAGAAGGGAAACACTGCAATAACGCTGCTTGAGCAGGGGGACAATCAAAGACAGGCTCAGGGAGGCACATCCCGAGAACATGGTGTGGCCAGCACCCTTCTCCGAAGGCAAAAGCACATTCCTGTGATTGGGACAAGCCATTCCTGACAATGGATCGCGATGACAGTGGCTGCTCAGCAATCAGGAAGTGTGCGTGTGTGTGTGTGTGTGTGTGCGTGTGTGTGTGTGTGTGTGTGTGGAGGGGGAGGGATGAACTAGATGTGATCAGAGATTGGCCCTCTTCAAAGAAGAGCATATGGGATCTTAGATTGTGAAGGCAGACTTGGAGGGTGAGGCAGGAGCGGTTAGCTTTTCTACGGGAGACATCCTTCGACAATGAACACGTTATGTGCCCAGGGAACAGGGGTGTCACTGCCTTCAGAGTCTCCCATCTAGGAGTCTTTAGTAGAGGGGGATTGGAGGGGAGGAGGAGGGGGGGGTGGAGAAAGGTCGGCATTGCCCCCCGGGGTGAGTGTGGGGAGGCTGCACACGAGATGCATTTGATCTCAGGCGGCACAATACTCCGGGGGTGGGAGGTCTGGGCGCAACCGCTGGGCGGGGGAGGCAGTGGGTGCAAGCCGCCAGCTGCAGGGCAGCACGTTCGTCGGAGGACGGATGCAAACCTCCCCTCGGCCCGCGAACCCGTGCAGACCCAGCCCCCTCAGCCTCGGGGCCAGCGGACTCTGCAAAACTGAAGCCCAGCCCGGATCC